ACTAAAAATACAAAAATTAGCTGGGCGTGGTGGCATGCACCTGTAATCCCAGCTCCTTGTGAGGCTGAGGCATGAGAATTGCTTGAACCTGGGAGGTGGAGGTTGCAGTGAGTGGAGATCATGCCACTGCACTTCAGCCTGCATGACAGAGTGAGAGCCTGTCTCAAAAAAAAAAAAAAAAAAAGGAAAGAAGTTACAATATAGTTTCTAATTTACTATGTGTAAAACAAGCCAAAAGTTACAAATTATGAAAGCAGTCCAAAGCTAATGTGAGATTTCAGTTTTCTTGAATATTATATATCTATCAGGTTGTTACTCCAGTTTCATCACTGTTTGACAATCTTGTCCTAATGGCTTTTAAGATTACAAGCTGAAACATTAAATGTCCAGTGTGATTGTACTTTAACAGCTGTTAGAAATAGTATGGGACAGCAAAGTTAGACCATTTTTACATACCCCAGCGCTGCCTCTTGTTGCCCGTGCGTCATAGTCATCGGGCAAGTGAGTCTCACGTTTTAAAATTTTATACATGTGGATTTTGGAGCTTCTGTTTACACTAACAGAGATAATATTTTAAACAACTGGCATATTGTAGCTCCTCAAAGATCTAATGGTTTTGAGGAATGGAAATTGGGCTGCGTTTAAATTGAAGCACTGCCACTTACTAGCTTTGTAATCTAATTTTTCAGAGTTAGTTTCTCTTTTGTAAAAGGGGCATAATTGTTTCGGAGTAGTTGTGAGGATAAAATTTTAAAATACAAGTACATAAATGCATATGAAGAATTTATCCTAGTACTTGGACCATAGATGCCACTTCAGTAGTAATGACTGCTGTTTTTGTTGCTGAAGTGTAATTTGATTTTCCTGTTATTACTAAAAGAAGTGAAATTCGATACAGAGTGTGCATAGTATGTAATTTGTCATTATGCTGAGGACTGCCATTTCAAATATAATACCTTTATTTAAAAAATTTTTTATTTTGTATTTTTTTTGAGATGGAGTCTTGCTCTGTTACCCAGGCTGGAGTGCACTGGTGCAGTCTCGGCTCACTGCAACCTCTGCCTCCTGGGTTCAAATGATTCTCCTGCCTCAGCCTCCCGAGTAGCTGGGATTACAGATGCCCATCACCACGCCTGGCTAATTTTTGTGTTTTTAGTAGAGAACGGGTTTCACCATGTTGGCCAGGCTGGTTTCGAACTCCTGACCTCATGTGATCTGCCCACCTCTGCCTCCCAAAGTGTTGGGATTACAGGCATGAGCCACCATGCCCAGCCAGAACATTTTTATTTATTTATTTATTTATTTATTTATTTATTTATTTAGACATATAGTCTTGTTCTGTTGCCCAGGCTGGAGTGCTGTGTTGCAATCTTGGCTCACTGCAGCCTCCACCTCCCGGGTTCAGGTGATTCTCCTGCCTCAGCCTCCCGATTAGCTGGGATTACAGGCGTGTGCCACCATGTCCGGCTAATTTTATATTTTTAGTAGAGATGGGGTTTCACTGTGTTGGCCAGGCTGGTCTCAAACTCCTTACCTCAGGTGATCCACCTACCTCAGCCTCCCAAAGTGCTAAGATTACAGGCATAAGCCGCTGTGCCCGGCCTTATTTATTTATTTTACTTTTAAGACAGTGTCACTCTGTCTTTAAGGCATGAGTGCAGTAGGGCGATCTCGGCTTACTGCAACTTCCGCCTCCCCGGTTCAAGTGATTGAACCCAGTGCCTCAGCCTCCCAAGTAACTGGGATTACAGGCATGCACCACCATGCCCAGCTACTTTTTTGTATTTTGTAGTAGAGATGGGCTTTTGCTAGTTGGTCAGGCTGCTCTCGAATTCCAGGCTTCAAGTGATCTGTCCTCCCCACCCTCCCAAAGTGTTGGGTATACAGGCATGAGCCACTGCATCTGGCCTCAAAGATAATTAAATTGAATTAATTCACCACTCCTTATTAGAATAATGTGTTCTATACAGGTCATAATAAAATATAGTGGCAGGAATTCAAGATCAGTCGTGAGAAATCCTGGCTTCAGTTCTGACAGCACCATTTTCAAGTTTTAGGCAAGGTATTTAACCTCTCAGGCTCGTTTTCTCTTTTGTAAAATTGCGATAATGGACCCATGTACTATCATAGGGTGCCTGGACAAATCAACTGAAATTTTTTTTAAGTCTTTGCAAATTGTAAGGCAGTTTGTGATTATAAGGAATAAATAGCGTTTGTAAATGATCTAAAGGAGTTCCCCAAAAAGTTCTCCTCTATAGGCTGTTTGGTGGTGAGTGGGTATGGGAGAGGATTTGATGTTTTGGTTTATTTTGCTTCTGAGACAGGGTCTTGCTCTTTTGCCCAGGCTGGAGTGCAGTGGTTGGTATAATTACAGCTCACTGCAGCCTTGCCCTCCTGGGTTCAAGCAATCCTGCCACCTCCTGGGTTCAAGCAATCCTCCCACCTCAGCCTCCTGAATAGCTGGGACTACCGGCATATACCACCACACCCAGCTGTGTCTAAAAAAAATTTTTTTTTTTTTTTTTTTTTTGAAGAGATAGGGATCTCACTGTGTTGCCTGGGCTGGTCTCAACTCATGGACTCAAGCGATTCTCCCACCTCAGCCTCCCAAAGTGCTGGGATTACAGACATAAGCCACACTGCTTCCAGCAGGATTTGGTATTTTAAAAGAGCTTTTTTTCTCCCAAAAAGTAGCCTCTTTAAGGTTTTTGTATTATGGAACTTTCTCTAAATGTAATAGAAGAATTTAATTAGCTGGGTGTGGTGGCTCACGCCTGTTATCCCAGCACTTTGGGAGGCCAAGGTGGGTGGATCACCTAAGGTCAGGAGATCGAGACTATCTTGGCTAACACGGTGAAACCCCATCTCTACTAAAAATATAAAACATTAGCTGGGCATGGTAGCACGTGCCTGTAGTCCCAGCTACTTGGGAGGCTGAGGCAGGAGAATCGCTTGAACTCAGGAGGCAGAGGTTGCAGTGAGCTGAGATCGTGCCACTGCACTCCAGCCTGGGCAACAGAGCAAGACTGTCTCAAAAAAAAAAAAAAAAAAAAAATTAGTAGTTTTCTTTTTCAGGAAAAGAACATCTTTAATTTTTTGTCTTTCTTAAATAGATTAATACTTTCAGATGAACAGACTTTTCTTAGTGATTGCCCTTTTAGTAACTTCTAATTTTAGACTTTAGGGCAACGTAATCAGATAGACTTGTTTTCATGTGAAATTCTCATGTACAAATTAAGTTTAGTGATAAAGAGAATGATGACAGTAATTATAAAATTATATGCAAAGCATTAATCTACAAAGGTAACAGTAAACCAAAAAGTTAAACCAAAAAGTTGTTTTCCCCAAAATGCAAACATCAACATTGTAAATAGGAAGTTAGCACAACACCAAGCGCCACACCTCATTTCTTACTTGGTTCTCACAAGCCTTCAGCTACCAACTGAGTAAAAGAAAAATCCCCACTCCTTATCTTGTTTTTTGCATACTTGGAAGGACTAGCATAGCATTTTCCCTTTTACCACTCATTCGTGGAAATGACTTACAATTGGGAGTAGATGACAGATAGGAGCTACCGAGGAGACTAGGGAAATGCAGGTATACTAACTTTTAAAATATTTATCCCAACAGCTACACCTCTACCCTGATTACTGAAGCTTAAACTAGGTAGTAGCACTGTCTGTGCCGGTTACAGGCAAAGGGAAAAAAGTTCATTCGTTGGCCCTAGGAAAGAATATCCATTCATGTTTCAAAAGAAATGGGAGAAAAAAGAAAATTTAATAGTAAAGTTCCAGAAGATGTGTTTTTAATGACATTTCTAGTACACCAAGGATTTTTAACTAGGATTTTGTGGACTAGCCTGAAAACATAATAAACTTTTAGCATTGCCTCTGTGGAAAACTTTTTTTTTTTTTAAATGTGGAAAGCGTTTTTAAAGTTCCAACTACCAGCTGGGCGCAATGGCTTAATGCCTGTAAATCCTAGCACTTTGGGAGGCCGAGGTGGGCAGATCACTTGAGGTCAGGAGTTCGAAACCAGCCTGGCCAACGTGGTGAAACTCCATCTGTCTCTACTAAAAATACAAAAATTAGCCAGGCATGGTGCCTTGTGCCTGTAATTCCAGCTACTTGGGAGGCTGAGGTAGGAGAATCTCTTGAACCCGGGAGGGGGAGGTTACAGTGAGCCGAGATTGTGCCATTGCACTCCAGCCTAGGTAACAGAGTGAGACTCTGTCTCAAGAATAAATAATTATTCTTAAAAAAAAAAAAAAATTCCAACTACCAGTTTGCAAAGTTTTGAAGATGGGCAAAGAAGGTCTGTAGTTTGTCTGAAAGCTATTAACAGTTTTCACTTTGCCTTAATTTCTGCATGCCTTAAATCAGTTATTATGTTAAGTGGCCAGCACTCTTTATATTTAGGCTTTGGGATAAATAATTAGCATAAAAGTAGTCACTGTATTTAAGGAATTTCTTCTCTATGAAGAGGCAAGGTATACTAGAGACACAGTACAAGGCAATATGTCATCAATCACCTGATGGATTGTAAGATGAAGATTAAAGTGTGAGAATTTTTATTTCAGAGAATGCTTGTTGAAGAGAAGAACATAGGAAAGGCTTTGTGGGAGGTACAGATCTTGTACTTAGCTATCAGGTGTCTGTGTATATATAGTCAGTAGAATGCCATTGAAAGGTATCACAACTTCTCAGATAATTGAGGATAGAAAATTCAACTGGTGTAAAGAAAAATGTACTATATATGTCAAATCAGTTAAGCTGATGGGTTCATGTGTAGGATTATGTGCACAGTGTATTTCAAACAGCATGACATAGGAAAGCTTTTTTTGTTTGGGACAGCTCTGACCAGGTGGTTTATAAGCAGTTGGCATTAGCTTTGTTAGATAGTTTGGAAGTGGAGAGTGCTATTGCAGGGTAAACTCTGAATATTTTTTGTTCTTAAAGTAATAAAATATCAGTTGTTAGCCCATTTTCCTTCTTTCACAGGTAAAAAACATGAAGCAGACGAGTTGAGTGGAGATGCTTCTGTGGAAGATGATGCTTTTATCAAGGTAAAGTGTTAATTACTCAGGTTAAGATGTTTATTTTAAGCCTAGTATTTTGCATCGTGAATTTTGTGCATTGTATTGAAGAATGGTCACTGAAGTATGTAGGTTAAAGATAAAGACCTATATAATACTGACAATATATAATATTGTCAATGTCATTAACTCTCATAATTGAGAAATACAGTAAATAACTTTAATTAAATGCGATACAAAAGCTAAAAATAATAATCTGTCCAGGCCTTTAGGTAGAAAGCTGGCCAGGGAAATAGCTACAAGATAATAGATATATATGTTAGTTCCTGGACAAGATATCATAGGGAAGGATATTGGTAATTTATTTTTTATCTGCCATTGCATTTAGCTTTTGTATATAATTTACAGAACTTAGAGTAATGTAGACCTCAAAATACACAGAGAAAATTGCTGAGGTGTTACTACTTGATAAAGATCAAATTAAGGGCCAGGCGCCGTGGCTCACGCCTATAATCCCCGCACTTTGGGAGGTCTAGGCGGGTGGATCACTTGAGGTCAGGAGTTCGAGACCAGCCTGGCCAACATAGTAAAACCCCATCTCTATTAAAAATACAAAAATTAGCCAGGTGTGGTGGCGTGTGCCTGTAATCCCAACTACTTGAGAGGCTGAGGCAGGAGAATTGCTTGAACCCAGGAGGTGGAGGGTGCAGTGAGCCAAGATGGTGCCAGTGCACTCCAGCCTGGGCAACAGAGCAAGATTCCATCTCAAAAAAAAAAGGAGAGAGAGAGATCAAATTAAGAAATTTGTTTTGCCATTTAAAGATGAATAAGCGAGGCCTTTTGGGGCCAAAAACGAGTGTATTTCAAAACTGGCTGGCCAGAAAAATTATGGGTGTAATTTTAATTGGGGTTGTGGCAGTTCTATATACTACAGCTATAGAACAAGCTGTTTGTAATTGTAGTTAGGGTTTAAAAATTTTTTTAAATTATTATTTTAATGAAAAGTGATCTGCTTATTAGTTCTTAAGTATTGTGGTATTTGCAAGAATTATTTCATGAGTATAGTTTCTCTTGAATTATGTACGCTTGTGCCCCCATATATTGTGTTTTCTGGATAAAACTAGTCCATATTGTCATCATGTCTCTTGATGTTTGTGTGTTTTACCATAGAGACAGCTCATGTTCATTTACCCACCCATCTCTCCTGCCTCCTAGCTCTCTTCAGTCTCCACACTGCACGCACACACACACAGACACACACACACATAGCCCCACCCCCAAAAGGTGTTTTGTTGAGGAGTTAACCCTGAAAGCAGATAATTTTAGGAACTATTTGCCCAGGGATCCATGAAAATTGATGATTGCATGCCTGTAATCAGCTTGTGTTTGAACCTTTAAGTTTTGGTATTCTGTTACCCTTATTATATATCTTCCATCAGGTTTGTTCCTTTCTTCCTATTTTTCTCCAGTTGTCTTCACCAGTAAGTGTATGATTAAGCAAACATTATCCATAAGCTGTAAAAATACTGTGACTCAGTAAAAAATCTTTTACTTTTAAAATTTGTTTCTTTCAGCTCTTCAGTTCATAAAAATGTTACAGTCATTTGAAATGTCCTAAGGAGATATATACGTCTATTCAGAAGAATAATAGTACTGTCTCTTATATGTGCCACAAAAGATGCTTTTGTGTTATTGTTAAATAAACCTGGTCATAACGTCTAGAATAACAAGGGAACTTTTTGTTTGTTTGTTTTTGTTTCTTTGAGATGGAGTCTCACCCTGTTGCCCAGGCTGGAGTGCAGTGGTGCATTCTCGACTCACTGCAACCTCCACCTCCCTGGTTCAAGAGAGTCTCCTGCCTCAGCCTCCCAAGTAGCTGAGATGACAGGCATACGCCACCAGGCCCGGCTAATTTTTGTATTTTTAGTAGAGACGGGATTTCACCATGTTGGCCAGGCTGGCCTCGAACTCCTGACCTCATGATCTGCCCGCCCGTCTTGGCCTCCTAAAGTGCTGGGATTACAGGCATGAGCCACCACGCCCAGCCCTAGGAGCTTTTTAAAAAATTCTGTTTAAAGATATCTTCAGTTTATTTTTGGAAGTATTAACATGTGATGTATTTGATAGAAATTAAGTGAATGTATTTTTCTCATCTCCCACAGTTGATAATTTTGGAATTTATACAGTAATGGTTGGTAAATATCACCTATTGCCTAAATACCAGAATTGTATAGAAATTGCTTCTGTGAATAGGTGAGGAGATTGGTCAAAGTTGGCACCTCAGAATAGGTGAAGTTTCCTTGGTAACTTCTCTTGATCTTTCTTGCGCCTATACTTCTGCCATAATACAGCCATGTACTCCATTTTCAACCCCTCACGTTCCCCAACTCATACTGTAGTACGTTTGGTCAAACAAGAGATCCCCTGCTCTGTAAGCACTCCACATTCCAAAACAATCATATTCTTTTCTATGCCCACCTCTCGATAGAAATTTCAGTTTCCTCACCGCAGTTTAGCTGTGAATGATTAGTAGTCATGCCTCTGCCTCTTTTACCTTTTAACCCAGAAGCCTTTTCTTAAATCTGCTGGATTTACCATAAGAACAGAAAAAGGGGAAGGAACCTTTATTGCTTTCACCCCTTTCTCTGCACTTAATCAGAGCAAATTGAGCAGATTGCTGATTTTGTTTTCACTGACGTACCATATATCCATAAACTTTGAAGGACAAACAGACCCAATCCCAACCTATGTTACCCTTCCTAATTGACATTTGGCACAGTGGTAGATTTCAAAACAAATACATTTCAATTAGTTATTTGCATATTTTTCAAGAACAGGCATTGATGCAGCAGTTGGGTGTTCTTTATTATTAGAAGTAAACTTTGTTTTAATGTATAAGACTTCCAAGTCTTTGAAGTTAAATCAACGTATGGCACATGGAGAAATCAAGCCATATTTTTTGGACAGCTCCTAGAAGGTGGCTTGGTAAATATTAAATAATTGGAATTTAGAGCATCTCTAGTAGCAATTCAATTAGTGTGCATTTTAGTGTGAGAAATTTGAGAACTCAGATTCGTGTTTGATGATCATGGTATTAGACCTATCTTTAAAGACACAGTTAATATATAAGGTAAAATGATTGAACTTTGGGAATATTAAAATATGATCAAATTTGACACATTTAAAGGTGTAAATTACCAAAAACATTTGGTGGATAGCCCACGCTACTTTGCCTCTAGTTGTACCAAATTTTCTTACCATTAAAAGGACTGTGAATTGGAGAATCAAGAGGCACATGAGCAAGATGGAAATGATGAACTAAAGGACTCTGAAGAATTTGGTGAAAATGAAGAAGAAAATGTGCATTCCAAGGAGTTACTCTCTGCAGAAGAAAACAAAAGAGCTCATGAATTAATAGAGGCAGAAGGAATAGAAGATATAGAAAAAGAGGACATCGAAAGTCAGGTCTTTAGCCAGTTTTTTTTAAAACATGACACAGATAAATTAAGTTTTAAATAATAAAAAGTACTTTTTTCTAGTTCAATTTGGAAGTCTCAGAATTTTTAAAAGATGTGTTACTAAAGCTACTTATAAGTCATCTAAAATCCTACCACCTTAGGCAACCTTTTAAATTTTTGCTTATTTCTTATAATATATATTTTTACATAGTTGTTATAGAGTTAAGTTGGTATTCTGTATTTTCATATAACATATAATTTCATAATTTTCCCATAATTTATTAGACTGCTTTCTACAATTCTAATATACTCCTTTAATTTTGGACATTTTAAGTTTTAAGGCTTTTTCCCTACTCCACGATGAATGAATGTACCAATTTCATTCTGTCATTGCCAGCATTACTTGGTGGTAGGGTTTTTTCCCCTTTCTGCTACCTTAGCAAGTATAAAAGTTACTTTAATTTACATTTCTTTGGTTATATCAAGGGTGGGGAATTACTTATGAAAGTTTAATTTTAAAGTAGATAATATTTCCAAATATTTTTTTTGAAATAGACCATTTGTCATGCTTTGAAGTATCTTAGTACATTTTAAGAAAGTCAGTGGGTTAAGGAGTCAGTGCTGTTAGTATTCATGCTTAAAACACTTCCCTTCTACCTACCTAATAAATGAGGGGCTCAAGAGTAATGTTTCTAATTCTCTAGCGACATGGCTAATTTTTTTTTGGCATAAAATATAGTCTGAATATTAAGCATTGATTTAGTACCCATGGTATCATAGACATTATACAGAAAACAAGGCAAATGATAATCAGGTATAAGCATAAAAGCATTCTCATGTTACCCAGATATTTTGTAAAGCAAAGCTATTGTATACCCTTTTACATAGGAAATTGAAGCTCAAGAAGGTGAAGATGATACCTTTCTAACAGCCCAAGTAAGTTTACATTTAGTCCTATGAATTTGATATTGTGGGTGGAAGGGCTTGGAAAAGGAATCTTATTTTGACTTCATAATTCTTTAATTCATGTAACTGTCTTAAATGTAATACTGAGTTATTTACGTGACATACACAAAGTACTTAAACTATTGGCAAGACCGAGGCGGGTGGATCACGTGGTCAGGAGATAGAGACCATCCTGGCTAACACAGTGAAACCCTGTCTCTACTAAAAATACAAAAAATTAGCTGGGCGTGGTGGTGGGCACCTGTAGTCCCAGCTACTCAGGTGGCTGAAGCAGGAGAATGGCGTGAACCCGGGAGGCGGAGCTTGCAGTGAGCCGAGATCGCACCACTGCACTCCTGCCTGCGCAACAGAGTGAGACTCTGTCTCCAAAAAAACCAAAAACAAACAAACAAAAAGATCGGCAGCTGAAATTTCTGTTGCCAGAAAGATAATTGGAGTTATTATGAGTTTCCTATCATTTTCAGAATTTTAGAAAAAAGTCCATCCTTTCTGTAAAACCTAACCTGGTTACTAGTCTTTTGAGAAGTCTACATTCTTCTTGATTTTTTTCTTGTCACTTGATGTAAAATAAGTCTTTTAAAAGTACTAACATTCTTTTCAAAGCTTTATTTAAAATTTTGTTAATTTAATACTCCTGTAACAGGCATAGTCTAAAAATGATTAAAAATTTCTAGAAATTTACTTGGGGGGTGTGTGTATTGCAAATGACTGCACTTCAATGTGTAATAACGTGTTGCTGCTAATGTGATACACATAGTGGACTTTTTAAAGTGACTTACGATGTTATAAGCAGACATCTGCAGATGAATTTCTGCATAAAAAATTATCCTTTGTCTTTTTCTCATATCTGTAACTAAAGAACCCTTTGTTTTTGGGTCCTCTTAATTTCATTTTAATTTTTAATCTTATAAAAACCAGAGAGGGTTTGGTGGTTTTGATCCAAGTTGGTTTTCATCTGATAAATAAATGCACGCATCCCCGGCGAAGGGAGTCAGTGCCCACTGGCATGTATTAGCTCTAGAATTACTACAGTTATCCAAGTAGGAGAGGATCGTGTCCTCTTTAAATGGTGTACTTTCAAATAGAGATATGGGTTCCTTTGTTTACTAGATTCAGAAAAAATAGTCATCAGGTCAGTTATTTCCTCTGGGTAGTATTTCCTAGAAGCATACTTGGGCCTTGTATTCATGGACTACTTATTGATGGCCCCTGCATGCTTTCTTTCCTGCAGTGCTCTTGCCTTTGAAATGCTAGTGAGCCACAAATGCTTCTGAGGCTATATATTGCCTCTCTGTGTGTTGCAGTGGAGGAGAAGTTGCATTTTGGAGAAAAATTGCATTTCTGGGAGAAATGTGGCTGATCATTTGGAATATTCAGAAAGGAAATATTAGAATGGTGAAAGTCTGTAAGGCTGTCCCTAAGTACATTGATTTCCTGGTGATAAAGAATCTATGAGGGGCTGGGCGCTGTGGCTCATGCCTGTAATCCCAGCGCTTTGGGAGGCCGAGGCAGGTGGATCACAAGGTCAGGAGTTCAAGACCAGCCTGACCAATATGGTGAAACCCAGTCTCTACTAAAAATACAAAAAATTAGCCAGGCCTGGTGTTGGACACCTCTAGTCCCAGTTACTTGGGAGGCTGAGGCAGGAGAATGGCTTGAACCTGGGAGGCGGAGGTTGCAGTGAGCCGAGATCGTGCCACTGCACTCCAGCCTGGGCAACAGACCGAGACTTGTCTTGAAAAAAAAAAGAATCTATGAGGAAAATTAACTCTTAAATTGAGAGAGTACCTTTTCTAGATTACTGATTTGCAAAAAGGGGAAGTTGAGGTCTTTATATTATTTGGCAGCTGGATATTAGCTTCTGTCAAGGATCACTCCTATAGTTGTCCACTGTGTGAGTTGTATGAAGGCATCATATCTAAGGATACCCACTTAAATAATAAACTTCATTACAAACATTTTTTTAAATGGATGGAAATATATCCGAAGGAAGAACAGTTATGTATTTCTTATCGGGAAGCAAGATTCGTCATATTGTATCAAAAGATGAGGTTACATTTTTAGAGAAGTTTTCTTTAAAATGACCTTTTTCCTCTTTCTAAATAATGTCTTGTGGAACATCTAGAAACATAAATGGATCTAGGTTCCATATGATCTAATGCATCTAAACATACTTACTGAGTCTATTACTATGTGCATTCAGGGATACTTCATAGTGTAACCATCACCCAGCTTCAGCTGTTTTCAGTTAATGGCCAGTCTTATTTTCCTCTGTACTTCTGTTTACTTTCTCCCTTCTGCATTATTTTGAAACAATCCAAACATATTTCCCTTGAAAAATTTCAGTATGTATCTCTAAAAGAGAATTCTTATTTTTTATATTAGCACTCCTAAAATAAAAATTTTAATATTATGAAATATACAGTTAGGATTCAAATGTTCAATTTTTCTATAAGTTTTTTTTTTTTTTATTATGTCTTGTTTAAATCCAGATACCAGTAAGATCTGTATGTTGTGATTGATTGAAATGTTTTAGGAGGTTTTCCCTTCCATCTGTTTTCCTCTTACTATTTTATTTGTTGAAAAAAGCAACTTGCTTATCCCACAGAGCAAGGGTTGGCAAAAACAGGCATCTCATGTAGTTTGCCAGTCGCCGCTGTAGAGCTTCCAAGGCCTGGATTTTGCTGATTACATTCCTGTGGTGGTCAACATGTTCCTTTGTTTATTGTATTTTTTGTAAATTGTTAGGTTGGTTGTAGCATCTAGAGGCTTGCTCTCAGATTCAGCGTTAACACCCCACCCCAGCACACACACAGCTGCCTCGTAGGTATAGTACTGTGTTCTTCTATTTGGATGCACATAATAATATCTGGTTGTCTTTTTTGATGGTACCAATCATTGATGATTCATACCCAATTAGGGGTTGCAAAGGGATGCTATTCTAATTCTGTCATTTCTTCTGTATATGTTGGAATGTTTCTAGAAAGAGAAACTTCCCCTTATTTACTATTTGGTTACCCTGTGGTATCATTTACACAGGAAAGCCAGGATATATGTTTGATTCTTTCCTTTTTATTTACCAATTTTCAGAATATTGAGCTGGTTCACTGGCATCCCTGACAGTGGCCAGTTCTTCATTTTTTCTTTTTTCCTCTTTAGATTCATTTCAAACTCATAGATTTGTATATATGTAATGTATTTTGGTCCATCACAGTTATTATCCTTAATGCTTACATTGTTCCATGTAGTGAGAGCCTCATCAAGTTGGCTCTTGAGTCCTTTCAACATGATCCTAGTAGACTTTGATTGATTCCTTGCTTGATGGTATGTAAAGATGTGCCATTTCCTGCTCTAGAACTATAATGAGGCATTTCTTCTTTATAGTGGTAAATGGTATTTCAAGACAACAATCTAGGTGGTGGAGGTGTTCACTGCTACTGAGTTGTTCATTATTTCTAGGTCTTTTCAATGTACAATGCTAGAGAAAATGTTGGAGTTGTTTTCTTTGTTTTTGCTTATTTTTACTTTTAAGATAAAATAGACCTTCAATTCATATGGTACTTCCAAGATAACCATTTACTTTATCTTACGGTACACATACAACAACTTTAGAATGATTATACCAACACTACCACCAATGCAGTTACTGAAAGTAATTTAAGATTTTCTTAGACATATTTTTCACAAGGATGTTTCCCTCTGGGGATGAACAAATCACCGTGTTTTAAGTTCTTTCCATTCTGTATGGTTGTATCACCCACTGATACATATCTAGGTTGATTTGTTTCATTTACTTTCAGTATTTAGGTATTGCTTTTGAAAGTTTAGTCTGGGTGGGCTGTGGTGGCTCATGCCTGTAATCACAGCACTTTGGAAGGTTGAGATGGAAGGATTGCTTAAGGCCAGGAGTTCAAGACCAGCCTGGGCAACATAGTAAGACTTTGTCTCTACAAAAAAAAAAAAAAAAAAAAAATTAAAATAGCTGGGTGTGGTGGTCCATGCCTGTAGTCCCAGCTACTCAGGAGGCTGAGTCTGGAAGATCACTTGACTGCAGGAGGTCAAGGCTGCAGTGAGCCAAGATCATGCCACTATACTCCAACCCGGTCAATAGAGCAAGACCCTATCTCAAAAAAACATTAGAAAATTTAATCTGGCTGGATGCAGTGGCTCATGCCTGTAATCTCAGTTCTTTGGGAGACTTAGGCGGACTGATCACTTGGCTCAAGAGTTTGAGACCAGCTTGGGAAACAAGGCAAACCCCCGTCTCTACAAAAAATACAAAAGTTAGCTGGGTGTGGTGGCGCACACCTGTGGTCCTAGCTACTCAGGAGGTAGATTGAGGTGGAAGGATTGCTTGAGCCCAGGAGGTTGAGGCTGCAGTGACCCGTGATTGTGCCACTGCACTCCATCATGAGCAACAGAGAAAACTGTGTCTCAAAAAAAAAGAAAAAGTAAAAGAAATTATATATATATGTATATATACACACATATGTGCAGCATATTTATATAGAGATTTGTCTATTTCTTTTTTTTTTTTTTTTTTTTTTTTGAGAGGGAGTCTGAGTCTGGCTCTGTGGCCCAGGCTGGAGTGCAGTGGCCGGATCTCAGCTCACTGCAAGCTCTGCCTCCCGGGTTTACGCCATTCTCCTGCCTCAGCCTCCCGAGTAGCTGGGACTACAGGCGCCTGCCACCTCGCCCGGCTAGTTTTTTTGTATTTTTTAGTAGAGACAGGGTTTCACCATGTTAGCCAGGCTGGTCTCGATCTCCTGACCTCGTGATCCGCCCGTCTCGACCTCCCAAAGTGCTGGGATTACAGGCTTGAGCCACCGCGCCCGGCCAGGATTTGTCTATTTCAAGAGCCAGTCCTCAGGCTTTGACTTGAAGCTGAAATCTTTAGGCATTAGCCTCTAGGAAGTTATACTAGGTGGACTTTGGTTCAGATTCTACTTCTATTAGTTAATTACAATATT